ATTCTGGCTTGCACCTTGCACAGATGTTTTATCAGACTGCTGATGGACAGAATTTCAACGCTTTCCTTTGTGTCCAGTTATTAGAATTGCCAAAGGTGCAGCCTGACAGCCAAATGCAACTTGCAGTGTCATGAATCATAGCTCAGGCCTGCCTGAATTTGTAACTTTCTGACCTGGAGAAAGATAATGAGGCTTCACATTGCCTCTGGTAATACAAGGAGTAAATAATTTTCAACCAGATCCTGCCATTTTTATTTCTACCTGAACAGTCTGTATTGCTGGTACTATGCAGCGCAGGTCAGATGAAAGACCTCTACAAAGCAAAGAACATTACACCCCAGGCAAAAGATACACAGTTACGTGCAAATTATGAGGAGCCTTGGTGTTGCGAAGACTTTCCTAGTGAATGCAGTCAATTTGAGTTCTTTCCTGATGTGTTAAATACCACTAATGTGCTAAGCTGAGGCAGACCACACCACAAATGTGACTGTAAACATTTCTCTACCTCAATGTGTACTTATCCTAGAACAAGTCGATACTTGAAGTGTCAACTGAATTTTCCTGGAAATAGGAAATTTGACTTTTTAATCTGCTTATAAGTACTTCCAAGAGAAACTTAGGTGTTTTTTCAGTGTAGTAAAAAAATGACCGAAAAAGGAACAGTAAGAACAGAAATGAGTCAGTAATCTATTGAGAATTGAGCACTGGCTATCCTAGAGGAGGCTAAAATATCTGTCTTCTGTCTGTCTTGTCAAACAGAGAGCGAGAATTTGGTGCAGAATCCATACATATATCATAGGGTAACAATCAGCAAGGGTAAGAAAGAGTCATTAAGCTAAAAGAGACTATTGGCTCAGGAAGAAACGGGTATGTTTTCTGTGCATAAGTGCAATGGGAAATAGAAGATCTTGGACTATCAGAGAAGAAAAATTCCAGTACTGTTGTTTTATAGGTATGAGAGTTAAAATGGTAATGGATGGGTAGGCAGACTAAATCATCTTAAGGTAGAGCTGTCTTGCTTATAAAACAGTCTCTGTGGCAACAGAGTATGACTTTGTTGGTTTAGAAGGTCCCACTTATGTTTTATATAGAAGGTGTTATTAGACTGATGCCTCCAGGACCAAATAGACTGTGAAAACCCTTAGAGGGTAATCCTGATCACATAAGGGAGATGTTTGATGTAAGTTACATGCAGTTTTTGAGTATTTTCCATTCGCTGCTGCCACGTGCCATCTTGCATCTGTCTATGCAGACATCCTAGATGAAGTCTCAAAAAGATGCTGCTTTGGGAGCAATGAACTGGTGGTTCTTGTGGGGAGCAAACATTCTTTTGGGGAAAACAATTGAGGGCATTATCTTTTAAAGTAAAAATAGCAAAACTTCCTTTGTTTTGTCCTCCTTCAGCTGTAGAACTTTGCTGCAGCCCCAACCTTCATCCCACAGCTCAAAAAAATCCCATATGCAGCATAAACTAGCTTTTCCTCACACTGACCCCAAGTGACTCCCTCATTGCAGGATATCAACAAACCAGAATGTCAGCAGCAGCTGCTGCTCTCAAAATACTGGCAAGCAGCTGGGTAAATTGCACTTTTTTGTCTATCAAAAGAAAATAAACTGAAACTTAAGAATATAACCAAATGGGAGGAAGATGCAAATAGCAACTCAGTAATTGCAGTTGTAATTATTTTTTGGAAATCATATTTCTAAAATATCCAGGTGGAAAATGAACTTTGTTGTTAACATAGCCAGTCAGCCTCTGATCTTCAAATTTTAAAATTAATTCAGAATAGCCTATAGATTTCCAATCATAAGACTGAATCAGTGTATCTTTGCAAGGTCACAAATTGAAGAGTGAGGCTCATTTGATTTCAATGAATTGTAAAATTGACTGTGTAACACTTATAATTAAGGAATGGCCTTAGCATTTTTCTAGCTGGGGACTTTTGCTGGCAATGCTTTGGAGCAATGTTGTGCTTTTGGTACCAGAGCACCTTCCTGTCCTACCAACGTGGCTTGTGGCTGATGACAGCCTGAAGAATTTTTCTTGACCAGTCAGCAAAAATATTTCCAGAAACAGTATATAGGATTTGAACATTTTAAGTTTGCTTCATTTTTTTCTCTTCTGTGTATAGTTCTGGTCTATGAATGCTCTAGCAAGTGGATTCTTTGGAACATGGCATTTTAAGTAATTATTAGAATATTACTGGGATAGTAGACCAGAAATTTGGTTTCTAATGCTTGCACTTACCTAGTGAATAAACAAGAAGACTTACTGCATGATTTGATTCTGATCAAAACAATATGGGGTTGTACTATGAAAGCCTTAGAAAGAATGAGAATACAATGAGCAGTTATTACAAATGCATACTCAGCAGATAATTTTAAAAGAATATGCTTTCAGAAAATAGCAAAAATTGCCAAGTTTCAAACAGAAAGAGAAGCACCAAATAATTTGTTAATATGTTATAGACTAGTGCAAGTGAAAAACCTGCAATTCTATTCAATGGATATTTCAGATATGTATGATAGTTTATGACTGAGATGTTAATGTCTGTTGAATTGAGAGTCAAATGACATCTCTCTTAGAGCTTCAGTACATCAGCATTTACCACAATGTTAATTATTAGAGAATGACAGATAGAAATGTAATATTTTCCTAATGGTTTTAATTGTTATAGTTTATTTATGTTATGGCATTTTACAAGTCCATGGTCTGTTTCAGCATGTGGCTGTGCTAAGCTAAAACTGAGACAGGCCTTTTCCCTGTGGGCTTCACAGAGTAAGAAAAGATATAGATGAAAGAGTGAAGGACAGAAGGGAGAGTATATTCATCAGTTTGATGGGTATATTGTGTACATACTAGTAACTGTCTCATTGGTGGCATAATTTATTCCAGTGGCACACGTATGGTGTCACCATTCTAAACCTTTCATTTGAGTCTATACAATTAGTTTTGCATGAATGATCTGTTATGCATGATGCAAATGTACCATATGCCAACTACTTAATTCAATGATGTATGAGCTGCTTCATATTTTCTGTGGCATATCGTGGGGTAAGTGTATGCAACAGTGCTGCAGAGAAGCTCAGATAGCATACTAAATTCACACTCCAACATATGCCATGGGCATTTGTTTGGCCAAAACCTTGATAGAAGTCTATGAAACAGTGCCACTGCATTTGCATTGTATCCACTGTGACCTCAGTGGAATGATTTGTTGTCTCGTGTTGTTGAAATTAATTGCGGGTGCTGTAGGAATGTTATGAAAAACAGCTGCGGCCCACACTTAGCCTTTGCTTTGTTAATGGTGATAAACAGGCTCCTTAAAGAAATACTACAATGTAAAAAGCAGTAATACTTGGGATATATGTGTAACTATGTGGAGTGCCATGCAGAGCAGCAGATGACCAAACTGATCTTCCACCTTTGAAATATGCCTTATGTTCAAATAGTAATTTAAGCTACAAGTGAAAATCTATTTGAACTCATGGTAGCCCCTTTTTGCTTAACTAAGCTCCTTTGCTCTTTGAACTCATTCTGGCAGGTGAATTTACAGCAGGTTTTTAGAAGGACTCAGCTGTGACCTAACTCTACATCCACTGAAGTCACATGTAAAACTCACACTGGCCACTTCAGGAGCCATAGTTTTGGCCAAAGTTTTGTTTGTGCTGCCCTGGATTTTGGCACACATGTGGCATTTGTCACAGTGAGTATTCAAGAGCATTGGAAGGGCTATTCATGACGGCTTCCTAAGCAGGTCTTGTGGTAAACGCAATTTTGTGTTCTTTTTTTTTTTTTTTTTTTTTTTTTTTTTTTTTTTTTTTTTTATTTTGATGTCAAAATTAAAAGAATAATTTTAAAGCACTTTGCAGATGTTTAGATTTTTCAAAGGGAACCCTAGTGGCTAAACCAAATGACTGTGAATCTAATTTTCTGCTTATTTTAAATGGGCATCTGCAATTTTTACTGTGGCCAAAATCATGTCAAATAGACCAAAGCAAGTTATAAACATCCTTCTGAGATCATTGCTGTCTATTATGAAAATCTTTAAAAATCCATAATACCAAGCACTGTAATTATATTTTCTTTGGAATGTATGGTTTGCCCTCTCTTGGTGCTTTTCTTTGCTAGCAGTGGAATGCAAACATAAGGCTAAAATCTCAAAATGTTGTGTGAGGTGCATAGACAAAATTTTGTTTGCAGAGTAGATTGTGAGTACATATCTCCAGTTCAACATTAAAAAACATCTTTACAGTATACCTGATGCTTTTCCAGCCATAGACACACAAACACACACACGTACGCACGCACACACATGTATCTATATATATCTATATATAAAAATTAGAATCAGTCCTTCTGGTTGGCTTCTTACATAGTATTCTTGAAAACCAAAAAACCCACAACCCCACTAGAGTATTCAAAAGCAAATGGAAATTGCTGTTAGACAAAAGTTAGCTCTTGGCAAATGTCAATAATTATAAAGCAGCTCAAGCTAAGACTTCTAGGAGACTATTGTAAGACTAGAAATGGTTGAGAATGAGCAGGGAAGCTGTTATTATAAATAGAATAAGCACTTAATGGCATCTCTCTCCATCTTATGTGTCATCTCTGCATAGCACTTTTTTGCTTAACACAGGGTCTGTTTCTTGTGGGTTCAAGGAGACAGCTAATCTTCCTAGATAGTGTTATTCTTCCTAGCTTACCTTCTTTAATGATAAGCTGGCTTAAGACTTAAAATTAAGCAGTCATATATAACTTATACAAGACCATTCACCATTTACAGAAATGTAATGCTAGAAATTCAACTTTCAAACTGCCAGTGTGGGCGCGGTGTCAGAATACGTCGTTTTCTTTGGCCCTAGTTTGACTTTTTCCTTCAGATCTTTTTCTTCTGCATCTGTCAGTGTGTTTGGTCATACACAAAAGACCATTGCTTGTCCAGACTTTTCTGGCACCTACTTTAACATCTCTGAAATGAAAAGTTTAAGGAGGACCATGTCTGTCTTTTCGAAGGAGTCGAGATGTTTTCTAGAATTGCATAATTGCATGTCTCAAGCCTGTATGTGGAATAACATAATCCTTCAGTTTTATTTTTACTGTATTTATTTTAGGGTGCACCTGGAATGAAGGGAGAAAAAGGTGACAGAGTAAGTCTGCTTTAAAGTTGGTTTTTCTCAGATTTTTTTAATTAAACATTGTGTCTTTAAAAGCACAGACACTTGCTAATAAAACACTTGTTTTGGTTTTGATTATTTAGGGTGACATTGCTTCTCAGAACATGATGCGAGCAGTTGCAAGACAAGTTTGTGAACAACTGATAAATGGTAAACAGTGTTGCTTGCTTCGTTTCTCATACTAGTAATTTAGTACTTCATTTGTTAAAAGAGAAAACAATTATTTAAATTTAAGGTGAGGAATGCTGACCACAGAGCATAGCAAGAGCTTGAGTGATCCGATAGCTGTCCAATGCCAATGATTTGGTGGAAAAAAATGTAGCACTAAATTTTTGCCAGATCCAGATGGCTAGCTTGATCATGAACTAATCTGTGACTTTTGGAAATACACATGCAAGTCTAATGCTCTGTACAAGGAAGATGACTTTCCTTTTGTCAGACTGGTCCAAAATTACTTAATCTTTGTCATAACATCGGTATATGTTTTTGCATTAAACATATCTTATCTTCAGGAGGATGGAATCAGTGAGAAAAAGGATGCTTACTGCAGGTACTTTGCTGACAGGAAAAGAGAGATGAGTGTTGGGTAAAAACTGTGCACAGAATCAGCTGTGCTATGCAAGTAAAAATGATATTTATTCGGAGAAGGACTCCAAATTGAATTTCAGTCCTCTGCTGCCACACAGCGCAGCTCTGCTGCCCATGGAAGTGTTCTCTACAGAGGCTTTCTCTCTGTCCCCGAGGCAGTGCTTTTGCTATCAGCAGACCTGCCGAGGAGGACAGAGACAAATATGCCCATAAATTGTTCTTAATATTGTTTCTGTAACAAGGGTAAGTGCTGATTGAGGTAAACAGATGTATCTTTTGGATCATTAAGAGTCCTTGTGTACAGGGAGGAGGACAGTATGTCCTTTAAAATGTCTGTGATGGCTGCTATTTAAAAGATGTCTATTAGTTAGCCATTGCACAGGAGTGAAAGTATGTTCACGAATGTATTAGGCTTGTGAATAAGGATGTGTTATCTGAGATCTATTAGCATCTCTTTTTTGAACATCCCTGCCTTATTTTTTTCATATTCAGCTCATCTCTTCAGGGTTATGCTAGGACTGGCACATTACACTACTCAGGTGGGGCTAGAGGTGGCCCCACATGAAGGGCTCCTTTCTGCATAGTTTCACAATGCTGTTGCTTTTGTTTTGGAAACAGAATTTGCCTGTGTGCAGAAGGTATATAGACACAAGCCTACGCATCCTGCAGGCTTAAGAAAACGACTTCATAGACTGTGTGCTGCTAGCTCTACACACGGATAATTTGTACAGTGTTTATGGTAGCTTCAGAGCTCTGAAAGTACAGAGAAATGTGATATTCCACTTTTAGAAGTGTAACAAGTCCTTTCTGTTCTTCAGAGTGAAAACAACCTCTAATTAGAACTGAGAGCAAGTGTGTTGTAAAAAAATGCTTATATTGTTACTTTAATTGCTTTAAAATTAATTTTTGTTAATGCTATTGTCTTCTAGAATCCTTCTTGCCTTTCTTCCCTCCCTCCTCCATTTATGTTCAGCCTTCTTAACATTCATCTTAAAGCTTCCTAGTTCATCTGTACTAGTTCACCACTAATTTATTGAATGCAAACAAGGACAGGATTTAATGAAGAGAGATAACTTGTTATTCCTTACCGCTCTGATAAAAGACTTTCACTCATTTCACATGGTTTATTGGACCATTTTTCCTTCCTTTTGAAGGTCAAATGAGCCGGTTCAATCAAATGCTGAATCAAATCCCGAATGATTATTATTCAAACCGTAACCAGCCAGGGCCACCAGGACCACCTGGTCCCCCAGGAGCTGCTGGATCAAGAGGAGAGCCTGGACCTGGAGGAAGACCAGGGTTCCCAGGACCTCCTGGCGTCCAAGGACCACCCGGTGAAAGAGGTGAGTAAATTCCAAGGCAGCTATATATTTCACAGTGGGCATAGTGCAGAGGCTGCCAGAGAAGCAGTCTGATCCCCTTACCATTTCAGACTAGGAAGCCCACACCTAGCAGTAGCCTGGTAGGTCAGTTAGGTTGCCTGAGGGGCACTGATGTTCTGGAGGACAAGGTTAATTACATCAGTGCTTTCCTCTGTCTCTCCCTTGCTCATGTTTCATGAAACACAAGTTGGTGCAACATTTTGGCTGCTGTCTCAAGCTTCCACCGGATATCCCAGGAGAGTGAATGTTCTCAGAACTCTTCTGGCACTAAACAGCTACTTCTTGAAAGGCTATTCAGAGCAACACACCTCTTTGCAGAACAGAACTCTGATTAAGAGAGAAAATGAGTCATTACCAAGAATAAAAACTAGGAGTTGAAAGAATTAGGTCTACATCCTTGGCTCTTTGCTTCCCTCCCTCAGAGTACTGCAACTCTGAACTGAGTTTGAGCATATGGGTAAACCTGTTTTGTGGCTACCTTGAATCACTGCAATGACATGGAGTGTCTGTACTGTACTATGGTGTGGCCTTTGCTTATTCCAGCTACTCTACTGTAGCATAGACTCAGTGCTGTGTTTTCTAGCATATATTTCAGTGTAGTCTTTTTTAAAGAGTAGAAGAAAATCAAGGAAAAATGAATTTCTGAATTCTGCTATTTCTTAAACTTATTTCATCATAACTGTTTCTTAGAAAGCGTAAAGCATCCTTTATAGCTGAAGTATGCAAGCTTGAAAAGGTTCTGTGGTGTTTTAAGTATCTCAAAGACTTTTCTGTGTTTGAGGAGGTTTATTCACACTAAATTACCTCTGCATCCTACTTTATTTTTAGGTTAGTATATTTACATCCAAATTATTTTCCCAAATGCACATTTGGGCTTCTGTACAAAATAAGATTTGACCAGCCTTGTTATGTTAAATAATGGGAACTAAATATTAATATCCATGAGAAAGCATGAAGAAATATTTGTTGATGTGGTCTCCTTCCTTTGCTTTTTTTTTTTGTTTGTGTTTTTGGTTTTGGTTTTGTATTTTTTTTTTTTTTTCCTCTATTCTGTAGGAATGCCTGGAGAGAAAGGTGAAAGAGGGACTGGATCTCAAGGACCACGAGGTTTGCCGGGACCTCCTGGTAAATATTTCTTGTTTTATCAGATTACAGAAAGGTAGGGGAAAAAGACAACATTTCTTCATAAGGAACCAGGCTACATATGGTCAATGAATGTGCTTTACTCCATCCGCTTCATGTTTTTGACGTGTATTAGAGTTTACTGGAAACCTCTACAAAAAAGGGCAATTTAGAAAGATTTTTGGATGTGGCTAATAGGTATTTATCTTTATCTTGTAATCTACTCATCTGGCATGCTTGCTTGTGTGAAAACGTATTTAATAAGAATACAGTGTCCAAGTACTTGATGGATATTTTCATAAGTGTTATCAGATGATATTTTTGCAGTATCTAGTTCAATTTTTTACTTGTGATTACAGAACTTCAAATTGTCCCCGGACTACAAAATATTCCCACGTGTAGAGTTACCAGATGATAGAGTCAGACGATTTGACCATTGGTTTTGGTCTTTGTATCATGCAATTTTGTTCACTGATGCCTTGACAGAAATCAGCTGCATCATTTGTTTCTGCTTGTAGTTTACTGGGCTAAACATGGTTTCTCATTACAGGACCCATAAGATGCTTACAGCGAATTCTAGCCCCAGTTACTTGAAGCTTTACTTTTCTGCTAACCATAATAAGACCAGTTCCAAAACAAACATTACCTCATCTATCCTGAGGCTACAGGGTAGCAGAATTAATGTACTCCTATATTTTAATTGAAATCCAGTGTGCTTGTCTAATCTAGTAGTTTCCCTTGAGATCTTCATATCTTACACAGAGGGGAAATAAACCAGAGAATTCATTGATGTTTCTTACTTGGCTCAAACCTTACTAAATCAGTTTCTGTGAATAAATCCTTAAATAAGCCACACACAGGGAAGCAGCTAATGATGAGTCATATTTCTAGTTTTCTTTTGTTTTTCTTGCTGTTGACCCCCGTATAGCAACAAAGTGCAAGTGTTTTCTCACCAAAGACAGATCCTAGTCTGTATAGTCTAGACAGCAGTAATGTTAGCTGTTTTATCAAGCTAACTCTTAAAGAAAACAACCTCCCAACCTTTCAATTCTAAAATTAGGTCCACAAGGAGAATCTAGAACTGGTCCACCAGGCTCCACAGGATCACGAGGACCACCAGGGCCACCAGGTCGTCCTGGAAATGCGGGTATTCGAGGTCCCCCAGGGCCACCAGGATATTGTGATTCATCCCAGTGTGCTAGCATCCCTTACAATGGCCAAGGATTCCCAGGTAGGTTATGAACAATTTAACTTGCCTTAAATAGCCTTCAGAGATGGGGCTATTCGTACTGAGCTGCTTTACATGAGACAGTCCTGCTAGCCTGAATCAGGAGAAAATGGTTGCAAAGAGCAGGCCTGCCTCATTGTAGTGTGCAGGTGTATGAGCAGTCATTTGGACTTTGATGCAGGTTTACTTGATGTTATGTATGGTTTGCTTTAAATAGGAAGTAGTAACTAAGTATTTTAGTCTTTTTTTTTTGAATGTAGACGGTTAGTAGTTGATAATGTTGCTCATAGGATTTAAGTGACCATTTTCTTCTTCTTCTTTTTCCCCTCCATCCCCACCCCTTCCAACCGTCTTCAGAACAAGGTTGAATTCTCCATGTTTCTCTTGAAAAATAAAAAGAATGCTGTGGTTGGCAATTTCCGTGTCTCTCTTTTTGAGCAATGCCAGGATTATTTATACAAAATTGATACCTGAAATAAAAATTTTCCACAAAGGAAATCCATTCGGTGATACAGTGCAGACAACTGAAAAACACCACTGTCCTACAATTTCTACCAAGTTAAACACCATGGAGTCTCTGATTAGCCGTGGGTCATATCAGCCTTCCACTCTGTGATGTAGCTCAAAACAGTAGGCTGCTTCTGGAATCAAAATAAAGGGTCGCAGCGGCCATCAATTCCTGACTGGAAAGATTCTAATATATTTTAACATGGGGATCCTGCAGGACCACAGTATTGTTAACAAATTAATATGTATGCATTGCAACATCTCAAAATTAGTGTATGTGATACTACTATCGGATATGATTTGCTGTTAGTGTATTGTGCATGTACCCATGAAAAGAAAAAAAAAAAAGAAAAGAGAAGAGAGATATATATATATATGTACACACTTGCAGACTTGGTGCTGCTGGTTAAAGACCCAGGTGGTTATGCAGATCTCGCACAAAATTCTTATTTAAATGAAAAAGCAAGCAAATTGTACCTGTGATTCAGCAGTGTTCTCCTCTCTAGTAAGCAGCTATGTATACATATATAAATATATGCCTATGACTTAACTGTTATGTATTTAGTTGGATGAAAGTATGTTTTTGCACATCAGATGGACTTTTTAAAAGACTAACATCATCTTTGACCTATTTCAGGTTTCGGCTAACACATTTTCTAAGTCGCCAGTGCTGCTTACAGTTTGAATACATGAAAATCCTGTTTCTGAGATGTTTGCGCACGTGCTTATTAGAAAATGAGTCCGTATGGATATTTCACCACGGATATGGTTTTTGAACCATGTTGGCCTCATAGAATGGGGAGATTCTTTTTACTAACACAACTCGTGAATGAGATAAAGGACAGTGATGTTAATTCATTAAGCCTGTTGCATTTCAATAATAAAATAGACAGTCTTTCTTTTTTAAAAAAAGACCCAGACCATCAAAAGCCTCAGTGATGAAGGAGGCTTATAAAACTACTAACCAGCAAAGGTAATGCCGTTAGAAGAGACAGATTTAACCTGGTAAATGAGAAATGACTTGTGTACATAGTAAACTAATTGTGGCTTGTAAATGATTTGTCCTGTTGCATTTCAATAATAAAATAGACAGTCTTTCTTTTTTAAAAAAAGACCCAGACCATCAAAAGCCTCAGTGATGAAGGAGGCTTATAAAACTACTAACCAGCAAAGGTAATGCCGTTAGAAGAGACAGATTTAACCTGGTAAATGAGAAATGACTTGTGTACATAGTAAACTAATTGTGGCTTGTAAATGATTTGTATGGGACTGTATCCACTAAAATCTGTTAACAACTCTACGTGATGCTTTTGCATAAAAGCCTGCTGCTGCTTGCTATATGCCGGAATAACAACTTATGAAACCTACCTGTCTGTTGCTTGTTACCAACATGTCTGAATCGGGGCATGTGCCTTTTTTTATATGTAATCTTGTTGGATTCTGTAACTGCAGTTATAAATACCAAAGTTTTATAATTATTTTTCTTCTGTTTTGCTGTAGTTTTTGGTGTTCCTGAAGCACCAGCTGTAACTCGGTTTGTTACGAGGAACAGCACGAGAAAATGACATGTACTGTATATTGCCGCTGGTGATAGTTATGTCTACGCTTACTTTTCCATTCTCAGAGAAAATTAGTATATGCCCAACCCACCTGTTCATTTTACCTGCCCCATGTCTTCTACTAATTACGCGATTTAAAATAAAATCCAGTGCTTGAATTTACTGAAGTAGCTGTAAAATAATATTTGATTTGCTTTGGGGTTTTGTGGGTTTTTTTTTTTTAGTTTTACAATAATTGGTCCCTTACATAATTTAAGACTCTTTCTGCAATGTTTTATGTATTATAAATACAAAGCCTTTCAAAATGAATTTTAAACTTTTTATTATTTTACTGCCAAAAAGTATTCATGAACAAAACTGAAATATACCCCCAGTGAACTATTAATTTATATATTTATTATATGGAAATAAGATTGGACTAACGTTATGTAGACACACTAACTTTCATTGTGTTTGTGGATTCAAAGACATGCGATAACTATTATGTTCAATCGGACAACTATTTTCAACCAGAACCATACGTGCCTGAAAGTGGACCCTATCAACCTGAAGGTGAACCCTTTATAGTACCTATGGAGTCAGAAAGGAGAGAGGACGAGTATGAGGACTATGGAGTTGAAATGCATTCACCAGAATACCCTGAGCACATGCGCTGGAAAAGATCACTGTCAAGACAAGCAAAAACAAAGCCATAAGAGATCTGTGTCTTGTTTTGGTTTTTGTGGTTGGTGGTTTTTGTTTTTGCTATGCTTGCATTTGCAGAGACACACAGGGAGGGCGCATCATTTCTTTTGCAATACAGCTTTCTGGTCTTTTCATATCAGACGCACCCCTGTTTTGTATCTTGCTTATGTGGGGATAGCAATGGTGTACCTAGAGAGTTCGTATTGCTCTGGAAACGCTTGTAAAATACTTTTGCTTATAGTGGCTGCGTACAGGTTAATATGTGCATTCAGTTATCCCAGTGCTGCCTTTTCATTAAAATAATGTAAAAACAAATAAATAAAAAGAAGAAAACCAAAAAACCAAAACAAAAATAAGCACAGAGCTGCTGCACATTTTCTAAGGACTGTCTACTTTAGCTCTACATTTTTCTTCTTTTTCAAATGCATGTTTGCAGTTCAGTCAGATCACAGGTCTGCATTATCTAGTTAAAAGAGAAAGAAACAAAAATTTCCCTCTTCTTCCAATATCATTGTCATTTTCTTCTATTCTTAGTTACACTTTGCAGAGCATATACTGCTCTTATACATCTCCTTTAAACACCACAAACATTAAGTAGCTGAAATCATTGTATCAACTGGATACAGTTTAATAATGCCTGAAATCTCCTTGTTTGTAGACACAGTAACATTTATGCCAAATTGCAGTCAATCCTGCAGAGATGGAATTGCATGTTTATGTTGTATATTTAGTATGGATTTGTTTTTTTCCAGAATGCAATGTTTCTTAGTTATCAGAAGCAGTTGGAAATTGTTTGCAAGACTATGGATATACAGTTGCTGCTTTTATATTTTAACTGCAAATTGTGAATTTTACTGCCTTATATTATTTATTTCTGAAATGAAAGAGGCATTTTTCAATAAAACTACTGAAAATTTATGTGTCTATTAATTTTTTGAAAGGTGCAGTGAGACTGATGTGTGTGTATTCTATTAGTGTTATTTACTCAATCATTTCGAAATGCCAGGTACCAAAGATCAACTAGAATGGAAATAGGCTTAAAATAGGTATTTGGGCTGTGGTGTCTAGAGGCGGGTGGATGAAAGCAGGAGAGGCTTCCTCTGGCTGAGGTATGAATAAGACTTTTAACAAATTTGGTCTGCAAGCCATTTGGTGAAGAAAATGAAAGAGCAGCTCTGAGCTTCAGTTGCTGTCTTTTTTGGAGGGTTTCTGATGGACAGCTGTTGCAGAGAGACACTTCTCACCTGAGGAACTACGTGAACTGCAGTGAGTACCTAAAGCTACACAGAATTTTAATTCCTGGTGTGCTGTGAGCATCATAGCCATGGCAGCACTGAGTCCAGTATTAGCAAATAGCTTGCTTGGGGAAGTGGGTGTCTGGTGTTTGCTGAGCTCCATCCTGCTGGGACCACACATGAGCTGGTTACTCTCTGCTCAGGAGGTCATCAGTATCTGCACAAGCTTTGATCACAGCGATGGCTGTGACATAGCTTTACCTAGAGAGGGTGACGATTTGGAAAAGAACAACAGAACTGCAGTGGAGCAGAATTGCTTGCTAACTGAGGAGGAGAGAGTGGACTGGTGGTGATACTTCCCATCCATGGTACCTTAACCGAGGTCTGTCTTAGAAGTAGAAATGGCTTTTGCCATAGGACCTGGAGCAAAGCCTTTTGGCTTCATTGGGAAAGCTAGAGTGCCATTTCTTAGATCATGCAAGGCATTTGTCACAGAAGTGAAGCTAGACGTGCAGGCTGGCTTCCTGATCACTGAATTTTACTCCGCACTGGAAGCTGTATGTCCACAAATGGAAATTATACTGCAACTCCCTAGACTGCCTGACTGCTTATCAGTGAAGTGAAATCCAAACAAATAGCATTTCAAAGAGTGATCCTGATTACAGTCATATGCCTTTTAGACTGTAAGAGAATAATTCTGGGCTGAACTGAGGAACGTTTAAAGGAAAAACAAAGCCATTGGTTTTTTTATGTTTTCTTCTAATTGCAGAGAGTTAAGTATCAAAAACGTGTCCTGCAGCTTGATGTACAATAAAGAAATGCATGTGTCTGCCAGAAAAAAAAAGATGCTGGTAGAAATTTGGAGACGTGATTAAAATGTTTCTCTGAATTTTATTTAAAAACAATGTCATCCTGCATTGATCTCCATCTGTCTTTTTCTGGCATTAAGTCTGTCCCTAGGACAAGCTTAACCAGATGCCCTTATCTTCATAAAAAAGATGTCCTTCTGTTCTCCAAACAGAAAGTTTTACGTTATTTAAAGCATATATTTAAAATTATTTTTCTATTTCTTCATGAAGTACATCTAATGCCTGCCAACTATGCCATTCTTAATAGCGATGCTGCTATTTGATTATCTGGTGGCCTGAACTATTTAAACATGCAATAAAACCTAAGCTTATTAGTAGTCAGTACATTTTAATGACAAAATTCTGCTCATGGATCCGCAGGATGGTTATGAGCTCTAGGATGTGTACTTCCTACAGGCAGAGAATGACAAAGTATGAGTCATGACCATCTCTGAACTTGAGATAAGTGCTGATAAGCATTTGTAGTTCATAAAAAAAGCCCCGTAATCCCCAAACCTGGTTACCACTTCTTTCACCTACGCCACAATGTTTGACAGTCAGACTTCTTCTGATGCTGCATTTTGAAGTAAAAAGGACTTTGATTGGCTCATCCAAAATACAGAGGAAAATAGTTGAAATGTTTGGACAGCATATAAATGAATGTTTACTGATGGAGGCCAACAAGAAAGAACAACTCATTTCCAGGAATTCTCAGGGGAATGACTCTGGGAGGGTGGGGGGTTACTGATGACACTTCTGGAAAAACTCTTGCAAAGCTGAGCCAAGCAAATCCTGGAGAAATACAGATGCAAAGCAAATACAAACAAGTTTAGGTTCCTGAATCTCTCATGCACAAGTGAGCAGTTTACATAGTCTGGCAGTTTTAAAGAAAGAAATTGTTTAAAAGCTCAATTTTAATTGTATACGCATTTTCTCTCATTTTGGCAAAAACTGTGGATACGAACAAGCAGGTGGGAAAGGGCTGCTACTCGTTTGAAATTAGGACTGAGCACTGCAGAGAGGACCTCAATGAAGACAGCCTTTCTGTGTTTTGAAAACACTTGCTCGGCGAGCAAGTTCTTTGCATTCCTGATAGTACGGATAGGAAAACTGCACAAGTACCCAGACAGCATTACTGTTTTATGAAGGCTAAATATTATGGTAATGCATCATTGCTGAGATCTCTGTGCAATAATAGGCAAAAATGGAGTGAAGGACAGCATGTAAAGAGCCGTAGTTGAAAGAGTGCCTCCGTTTTATCTTCTGTTGTGGTTTCGTGATAGTCTTTTGAATGCCCAAGCACTGACTGCACAGAGATGCTTATAAAAAAAAGAAGATAAAGGGACAGTGATTGATTTTTCTTGATATGAAGAGTTTCAAACAACAGCATAAACAGTTGATCCTTGTTCCCATGAAGGCCCCTTTTGGTATATAAAAAAAGGTATATTAGTAATAACTTGATCAATCTATATAGATCTTAAATGCATTAATTCTTGTTTGCAAGTTTCCAAAATAAATTCCACTGCAGAAAACACATTAGCAGAGTCACATAGTCCTTGAGGTTTTCCACTACCTTTATGAAGTGAAATAATATGTTGATATTTTTGACTGCAGCTCAGACCAAAGTTACAAATGGGAAAACGTTTTGGGAAGATGTTGTACTGTGAAAACACTAATTATTTTCATGTCAGCTTTTTAACAGAAGAATGAATACCTTTTGTGTCATTTTACTTTAGATGCCCCATTGAACATACTGATATGAAGGTAGTTGTATTTCTTGTCTTCAAAGTCAAAAAGATCATACCAGCTTATAGCCATCAGGAAAAGACATCTAGTAAAAGCTTTTCTTCCTTCAGTATTCGGCATAAGACCTCAAACTTTTGTCTTGATCAGGTAGTTAAAAGATGCACAACCATCACTTTCATGGTCTAGAAAAAGACATGGGAATGAAAGGAAATTCTCTTGAAGGCTTCTCCACATCTGAAGTTTTTTTAGATTACATTCATTTTAAAAGAATAGACTCAGACAGGGATTTTAGTGCTGGTACGCTATCGGCCTCTGAAAAGAAATGCTCAGTTGCATTTTCATTGAGTTCTTTTCCTGTGCTGTTTGTTTAATGTTTCCATCTCATTGTTTTTGTTCTTTTGTGTCATCATGGGATCGTTGAGCTAATTGTGACAATGCACCTCAGAGAGTGATTCTGAAACACAAAGTGAAATCCTGCCTCCTATGAGATCAGCTACATTTTTGCCACTGAATTTAGCGAGGTTGGATTTCTAGTCTTGCCTTCATCCAACAAATTTGTTCTGTAAGCTTGGAGATGTAGAAAGCCCTTAGCAATAAATTATCGTTTGTGGGGTTAGTTTGTTTTTTTTTTGGATGGGGAAACACAGCAAAACCATTTGGAGCCGTCACCCAGCTGCTCTCTCAGTTTCATTTCTGGGTCACCTTTGTTGTTCTGAATGTCTTCATCCTTGAAACCTGCTGTTTGTTTCTGAATTGTTCTTACGGAATAGTTTAGCGCCCAGTTTGACTTCCAGTCTTTCATTCCTGTATAGGCAGTCCAGGATGTCTTGAAGATTTAGTTCATGACCACTGCACCTTTTCTTTGTGCAACCCCATATTTATTCCTCCCTGGAGTGATGTAAGCTACTCACTGGATTTTCAAGAGTTGCTAAAGTTTTGGGAACATGACATTTCTGGGTGCTCACTTCGAGACACCCATTGATGTCTGAGTTTCAGAACGCAATATACCTCTAATAACTTGACCTCTTTAACCAGTCTCAAGTTATCTTCCAAGTCACTACCAAGGTTATTTCTATAATACTAAATATTGAAGAAAACAAAAAAGGACAGAGAAGAAATAAGATGCTTTCCGTCTCTCATTTTCATAGCATGTTATGCCTGCAAGTTTCTTAAGTTAAAAATACTGAAGGAGACAGATTTTTTTTTTTTTCTTCAGCTATAATGAAAGTAGAGAATCTTCAGATGCTCAGGAAATGCCAGAAAGGAGAAAACAGAAGCTGTATCTTTTTCCATTAGAGAGCGCAGCTATCCAGAGACTTCTACCATAAACTTCACCAGAATTACTGGTCTTTGAGCAAAATTAAGCCATTTAAAAGTTACCAGAAATCCAGTATTGATCATGAAAAAGGTGTTCCTGTCTGGGATAGGCAGAAGTATATAAAACTGATAAATACTTTGAGTAATCCCGTTTTTACAG